CAGTACTTCATCAAGTAATTGGGATTTATGTAACATAGCTTTTAATTCGCCATTAAAAAGAATACATTAAATACAATTTTTGTACCGTCACCATCTATCTCTTATCTGACTTTTGTATACTAGAACCACTCTTTGGTATAACCATGTATGTTCATATCAAAGGACTGAACTCGTCGTTCTCAGTCTTTTTGTTGGAAATTATTGGGTTTCTACGGGTTAAGACATAAGCCTATTATTAACCGTTATTATTATAGGTTCGTTTAAATATTGTGACATTCAATTATTTGCAAACGCTTAGATCCCGAGTTTTTTGCATGAAAATATTTCGAATACAGTTGGTAAATTCGGTTTTCGAAAAACACAATTACATTATAAATTGTATATTACTTCAGCTCTTTATACATTTCAGACATCAGTAGTAAGTTTACGGACTTATAACATTGAAATAAAAATGTTTAGGTGCTTGTAACGATGTGAAAGATATTCTTACAATAGAATGAATTGTATAGGACACATATAATCAATATCTGTAGTTTTTATTAACCAATAGTATATATATATATATACTACACCTACCGGATGCAATGCGATAGATCTGGTTAATTAAGGGAAAAAAGCTTAATCCAGATCATTAGTCATGGCTCTTCTTTATAGTACTGGTAAAAGAAATCTTTACCGTACAGAGTTTAATTGCTTTATGTCAGCATAACAAGTTCCTATCTTCAAAAACAAATAATAGTAAAAAAAATTGTTTACCCGATTTAACTTTTATTTTTCTACTAGTTTTTCTTTTACACGCCAGAGAATTTTAGTTTAAATGCATATTCTCAATTACAAAGAAATCTTAAATTTCTAAAACTACTACCATGATTTTTCGCATTTTATGAATAACTGTTAAGTCAAGATAATATGAACTGCTTTTAGGTATTGGTAAATTTTCTTTCTTTTCGGTATGTTTTTACCATTGTGATATACAAGTTGTAAACAGTCTAGTAATTACGAAGGAAAAAAAGGATTAGAAAAAAAAGATTCATTTTTGTATTCAATGCCAGGTGGCGATTTCTCAAACAGTTTCAGAGGGAAAGTTAAATTTTAGAAATGGAAAATCATGCTAGTAAATACATATGTGTATCTTTACTTTTAAATTGATAAAATTTTGAAAAAAAATATTTGTCTGGTTAAAACGTTTTTTACATAGAGATACTTTGTGTGCTTATATATATATATATATAATTTATTTTGGTTTGTAAGAACTTAGAAATCGATAGGCCTAGGTAACCATGCTGTATTACTATTAGTAACTATAGTCTATAGTATTGACAATATTTTACTTGTAAGTTGCAGCTTACACTATTAGTATTATATTTTTAAGTATTTTATATCTTAAGTAATTAAGAGTTGTTAATTTTATTATAAATTTAAATTAAAGAAATGGTTTAGGTTCCACACCTTTACGAGTAGGATAAAAGCTTTAGAGCTAACACTAGTACTAGTAGTAATTAACAGTTAAGTAATAATTAAAGGATTGAAAATGACAGTGGCATTGTTGAACCATTTCTAGAAGAAAAAAAATAATTAACGGTATTTGTGACAAGTTGAATGGGGTTTAAAAGTGAAATAATAAATGTTTTATTCTAGTATTTTGTATGGAATTATAACTTAACTCAGACTAAAAGTTAAAAAAATGTTTACTACATAATCAGTACATGTACTACTAATAGACCATTTTTCTCGAGCAAATGATATCTGACAGACTGCCAAATGGCTTAATTCCAGAAAAGTTAGTCCATCATGTAAAGGGCCAATTAAGAAAATTTGGGACCCTGGGCACAGAGAACACTGTGATGAGTATGGTACTGTTGTATACACTGTTTAAAGGTATCCTTGGTAGTATACAAGATTTTTTTTTCCTTTTGAATACTAAAATAGGAAAAAAAAATTTGCAACTCCTAAATAACTAAGCTACTTAACTTTTCTCAAATATTTTTGTAAAATTACACATCAACAAAATGATTTTCTGTAATGCAAAAAACAATCCATAATGTTTAATATTAGAGCTGTATGAGTTTTGCTTCTTCTTTAGGTTTAGGTCTGTACTTCTAAGAGTTTTTAAATGAAACAAAGTATGGTAATTGGGTGTTATTCCATATACCAAGGTGTCTTTGCAATTTTATGTATGAAAAAAAAATTACTTTTAAAAATTTAATGCTCATTAGCCTTTACTATATTTGAATGGTAATGTTTATAACATACTTGCTTATATAAGCCACATTTTTGGTTAAGCACATGAATTGAAGTTAACAGAGAAAAATCTGTTTTGAATGAGAAAACCTCAACATGTTATCTGTGCTAGTTAAGGGAACATCAGCAAACTATGGGCACTTAAACTCAAAGAACTGTAAAAACTGCACAGCTCTACTGCATATGTCATTTTGAATGTTTATAGGCAGAAAAATAAAACAACACATAGTATAATGCCACACCAGTTATTTACACAACAGAAAGCTGTTTTAAGACCAGTACTACACAGAAATGTTACTTCTGTCTAAGACTATAGTTAGGCGGCCATCCCATGAAATTTGTATTTACAAAATCAAAACATGTCACACACATGATATATTTTGTTTCTATAATTTACCTTCTTTAGATACACACTCGGAAATCCACAATGTGGGTGAAAGCTTGCACCCATATGTTAATTTGTTAAAACTGAACTGCATCGTTTTATCAGCTCAAGTTTTAAAATTTTGTAACAGAAGTCACTAATTTCTGCAAACATTAAATGCTGCTAACAAAAATGAGGTTTTTATTGGTATTTATGCTCTCTTAGATGTGTTCATTTTTAGATATTATTACAAAAAAGTGGAACCTTTTAAGAAGAATTTAAGTTTTAATCAAAAGCATGAAAAAATAATATTTTCATACAGAATACACTCACTAAAAAGTACACCTTACAAGTCTTAAATCTGAATTTTTTTCCCATCAGTAAAGTCTTACCTATACTGGATAGAGTATATAAATTTTATATTGTAAGATAAGTATTTGTATTTATAGTATTTTCTTCTTTTTTTTTTTGGTAAAGGCAGATGAGATGTTAATACATCAATTTTTGAACATAAGTAGTAAATTTTCTAAACATCCATCTTTTTGATTGGATTATGTTTTTAGACAAGCTTTTCTAAAAAATTAAGAATATAAATATTGGAGAATTTCAGGATATTTAAATAAATAGAAAAGATAAATCTTTCAGGTGTTGCTGAACTTTTTACAAGCATAAGTGTGAATTAGGGGTTAATCTGCCTCTAACTGAACCTCAGATAGTGCATAAAAAGTAGCTTCATTAACATTCAAAGTTTGGTATGCTAAACATGCATTGTGTGTATAATAACACCAAACCTACTTAGTTAAAACATCTTTCAAAAGTGGTCCACACACTAGATGTTTCAATACCTGTTTTACATTTTCCTAAAAATAATATAGAATCATTAATACATATTTCAAAATAAATTTATTCAACAGTAGTAGCTCATTTAAAATTCAATTGTCTTGCTGGGTTTATTTATTATTAAAATATTCTGTGGAAACAAATATTCCAAATAACTGAATGAGGAATAGGAGAGCAAACTCTCATTCTTAATCATTTGTCAATGAAATATTAATACAAAAGTGTATATTTTATACAAATTTAATTACAATATACTATTACAGCTGTAGAAACATTTTAATTAATAAAAATACATTAGTATCAGTAATGAAACAGTATTAGAGGAAGTAATCATTAAAATGCTCTATCATATGTTAATTAGTATGTATTTCTGTTAAGCATTTTGTGTATTTTATTTAACACTAGAATTACAAGTGGGGGTCTTAAATGCCTTTTACTAAACTATTTGCCAAGTTGTTTGTGGGTCCTTCACTTTCTGTACTGTTGGTTACAGAATCCCTAATGAAATATAAATCATTAACAAAAAGTTGAAACTAAAGTACTATCATTTTTGCAATTAATTCCAATAATTACTGTTGGGAATCCTTGCATATTTTACAATGGAAATGAGTGATTTCATACAGTTTTTATTGGTCAGTTCTTTACACTGAGTGTGATAACAGTGAAAATGGAACATTATTCAATACAGTGCAATATGTGGACTTTACTGGTAGTGAATTAAATAATAACAAATTTGTAATTTGAGGTTAATACAATGTTTGAGCACAAAAAAGAAACACTTTATAGGTAGTGTTTAAATCATTTGTTGTTCGTAGTTATACATTAGTGTCAGGCATAAGCATGTTATGGGTTGTTGAGAGGAGAAAAATCTTAATCTCACTATGCTATATGACAACACTGTAATAATATTTCACAAATAGTCTATGACCATATAACATAATGCTTTACTAGTGCAATATGCTTAAAATTAATTTTTCACTCATTTTCTGACCAGATTATTCTTTATGAAAAATGAAAGGAAAGCTTGTAAAAATGAATCCAACAAGAGAAGGCTAAGATAAAATACTGCTTGTTCTTTGTGGGTAGAATTTTTTTTTGTATATTGAAGTAAAATGCTGGAATTTCACTGTACTTCCAGTAAAAATCAGTGACTGGAATTTAACCACAGGAAGATAAGTTCCTAGTTGTTGAATGTATAAATTCTTTCTAACCTTTTAACATTGCATCAGTTAATGTAATCCTATTGAAGATTACGCTTAAAATTTAAAAAAGTGCATGTTATGTTTCTGTATACTATTTTTAAAATTCTTGACTACAGAGAACAATTTTATGTATGTTTTATTTTAGTGTTATTTTTGGCTTGTGTTAGATTATTTGGAGCAGTATGATATGAAGGTAAGAATATAGTTGAAATTTGTTTATAATTTTTTTAAGTTTAGTAAACAGAATTAGTATTTTTATTGAGGTACATAATTTAATAAAGAATATATAATATTTTTTTTAAAAGACTATAAATATAATACAAAAGATTTGTGTGGTTATATGATTATTTTAGAGGACCGTAAGCTGTTTGTGGGTATGCTTAGTAAACAACAAACAGAAGAAGATGTTCGTCAGTTATTTCAGCCTTATGGAACGATAGAAGAATGTACAATTTTACGTGGACCTGATGGCCAAAGTAAAGGTGAGCAACTATATTGATTCAGCAAATGTTATAATATGAATATTTCTTGGCTCATATCACTTCAAGATCAAATTAAGACAAGTAATAGATAATGTAAAGGGATAAATGTTAAGTACTGAAACATAAGTGTACAGAATTTATATAAAGATTTTGAGTAAATACATTTAAGATTTGAACAGCCATTCACTAACAATGTAATAAAGGTTTCTTGAATAATATGAATGCATGAAGATGAAAATACTTTGATTTACTCTCAGGCATGAGTAAATCATTTAATTAATTAATTACTGATGCTGTACTGTATGTGTTTTTTGACTCATCTTAATAGATTTATTTCTTTTTGAAGATTGTATCTATGTTGTTTTATTAGTCCCATGTCTTATTACAAGTATATTCCAGTATTACTACCACCTTTTTTGCATATTTCATTGTGATAATTATTATTTGTGTTATTTCTAATATTGTGTTTTTGCTTTTTCTTCAGTTTTAATATTTGTTGTCATTGATAGCAATTGCTGAGTTTGAACAAACCTAAACTTAAAATTATTTTTGGGCACACAATTCAATAAAAAAAAAACTTGTTCTCTAAAAAAAAACAATAAGGATCAGAGTTTAGTTTTTCATGTGGTTAAAAATAAAATTAACTAATTTTTGTAATGAATCATTTAGCTAGAAATAAGAAAACTATTTAAAATTGAATTCAAGTAGAAATCATTGACTGTTATTGACAAGTGCTTCATCATAGATCATAACTTGTTTTTCCTTGTTGGCTTATCTTTTTTTTTAATATGAAATTTCTATTCATACATTTTGACTAATAATAGACTGCATTTTAAGTTTTTTCATGCTCCATTGATTTCTGACAGGAGGAATCTTAATTAAATGCAGTTTATGATTGATAATGTAGATAGGGAAAATAAGGAATATATCTTTGTCAAGAAAGATACCAATTTTGTTGGGTTTTTTTCATATTTAGAATAACCCATAGTTCTTAAACTGTTATCAGACCTATGTTTTGACAAGTTGTTAATGTTATTTTGTAGTTTCTATAAAACTGTGAGGTTAGAAATTAGAACTAGGAAAGAGTTATTTTTAGGTAATTATTTGTTTCCTGTCCTTTTGACATAGAAACTGTAGTAAAATATTCTCATTATTAACTTATATTCTACACTTAGTTCCATCTTTTTTTCTAAGTTTTGTTTTATATCCATGTTTGCCTTGTATTTTAATTTGCCATAAACTACTCATTAGAAAGATTATTTGATTAATTGGAAGACTTTGCTTCTCCATAAAAATTTACTGATCTTCTATCTAATTATACAGATAACTTTAAATAAATCTCCAGCTTTACTTTATTGAAAAGAATGAAATGGACAAAAAAGCTTTTTGTTTAAAGAAAAATTGCAGCTTTCAGGGCACGTTAAAATAATTTAAGTTATTAAGAAGTCTGTTATATATCTATTGTCTTTATGGTTGATACAGCTTTTACATTTCTAGACATACACATTTCTAATATATATATATTTTAGTAGCACTACCAAAGAAAGGACTTGGATAATTTATAATGAAGAAACCCTAGTGAATATATTACAAATGAATAGAGTCTTAAAATATGCTGAAATTGTTTAAAGCTTGTATATTCATTTTTTTAAAAACAGATAAATCTTCGTGTAGTTTTTCCAAGAACTTCCAAGGTCTTTTTTAATACATAAATTGTAATCAATATACAAAAATATTTAACTTTATAACAATTTTGTAATTTTATGTTACCTTTTAACAGTGTGTGTAATTAACATACAGGGTGATCGGTTGTTGAGGTACAGATGAATGCAATATTGGCAGGCATTCAACTCAGGTCACTAAATCTTATGCCGTTAGGTTTTTGTATTTAGAAATGTTTGAAATCTGAACAATTTCCATCTCATTCTAAATTTCATTTATTAAAGTCATATAGTTACCAAATTCCTAGATAGTGTATCTGCTTTAACAAAAATTTCCACATGTTTTTAGTTTAATAATTTAGTTACGTAACGTTAGTGGAGTATGTATAATGTTATAGCATATGTCATACCTTAACTACTATCTAACTAAAAAAAAAATTTTTTAAGTTAGTGTTTTTTTTGCCCTATCAGGATGTGCATTTGTGAAGTTTGGCTCTCATGTGGAAGCACAAACTGCCATCAATGCTCTTCACGGAAGCCAAACTATGCCAGTAAGTCTGTTGTTGTAATACTCTACAGTAGCACTATTATATTCAATATTAAAATTAACAACAGGTAAATTACTAAAACTATAAATTTTCATGTGTGTTTATATGTAGCTCAGATATAGTTTCATATAGGGTTATTTTGAAGTTGAAAATATTATAAAAACAAAAGTTTCCAAATTTATGAAATATAAGTATCATGTACATCTCTAATCCTAAAGAAGCAAACTCCATAATTTGGTATTTTTATATAAAAATTTGTTTTGACTTAGAAAATAGACTTACAGTTTTATCCTACAAAATGCTATTTTAGAATAAGGTTGGCACAAAATATTCTTATGAAATAATCTGAAGACCTCTTAAACACAAGCAGATAAAACATGGCTAAAAATGATAATCATATGCAAAGGAGTGTTTAATGTACGATGAACATGTTTCTCTGAAACAAGTTACTAAATGCCTTGAAGTCAATCCATATCCAACTGATCAAATACAACAAAACAATATACAGTGTATTAGGAAGGAACTTGTATATTCAGAGAGATAGTAAACAATTATGATAAAGCTTCAATTGAATGATAAAATTAAAAGATGGAATAAAATGAAACTAGTGAACAGAATTTTTTAAATGTTTTGCAAGATGTGATGTTTAAATTCCACCAGAACTTCTTCATACACATACTTGTGTATGAATATTAAAACATTCAAATCTTTATAGGATGCTTGGTATTATTGTGGATTGTATCTTTCTACCAATAAATGTCCTTAATTTTTTGCTAGTCAAATTTATCAAAACTTGGATCTAATTACCTAATATAACATATCCCAGTCTTACACCACCTAACAAATTAATGAAGTTTTGGAGATATATGTATTAAATGTTTTATTAAAAAGTGTTAATACACAACTTTTTTTTGGTAGCTGCAAATATTTTTAGTTATTTATTTTGTTATATCTTTAAATGATAACAAGCTGTTATGTCATGTCACAACTAGGATTGTATGTCTTTGTAAAGGCAATATGTGTACAGTACACATTAAATGCATCCTGATTTGACTTCTGATTCATTACATTTGGACAAATTAAGTGTAATGAAAACGTTTATATCCAATATAAAACTTTTTAATCCAATAGATAATAATAAATAATTCAGTCAAAATATGATTGTATAACAATAGTAAAGGATATCTAATTGTAGTGCTGCCATCTAGTTGACGATACTTTTATCAAATTGTTTTACTTTTTCTTAATGAAATCAAACATGCTCCCTTAACTGTTTTCTGTGTTTCTTTTGATACATAAATTGATTTATCAAGTGAAATAAAGCATATATTTAAAGTATGCATTTTTATAAAAATATTAACTAATATTTACAATAAAGGAATCAAAAATCACTATTCAGCTATGTTCATGACTTTGGTTAAGAATGTGAAATATTATAAGCTGTAATGTTTTAGCAGTAGTGCATTTCCTGTACAAAATTCTAGGACTAGGTTTGAGTTTTCTAATGTGTAAAGTATACATATTTTTTTTAAACCAATTATTTACTGAGATGTTAATAATTTATTTTTCGATGCCATAATGCAAACTTTTGTGCAGTATTAAGGAAGTCATGTCATGTCAGAATAAAAAAAAAAGTGATGTAATATGAAATACGTAAATTTTATAAACCAAAATTTTATACTTCGACTCCCGGGGGTATTTCCAGTCTCTGGTCGATCAAAGAGTCTTCTCTCCATATCGTAATTCTTGAGTTTATGGTGGTTCATTGAGCTTTGTCCCACTTCCTTCCTCTCCTGCAGGAGAGGGTGGTTATGGTACATTCTGACAACTCCACAATGAACACTTGTATCATCAAGCAAGGGTGTACCAATTCCAGTTTTCTCTGCTTTCAGATCCTAAATCTCCTTTTCTGGGCCCACATAATGGTCTTAACTTGCCATGTTCCTGGCATGCTGAATCTAGTTGCAGACTGATTATCATGTCCCAGCAAGATTCTCCCCACAGAGAGGTCTCTCAATCCACAGGTCTCAGTGGGTGTGTTCCCAGCTGGGGACACTTCATATATTCCCTTTCCACACACTGGTACACCAAACTTCCTTCCTTTTGGTCTCCCATTCCACACCCACTAACATTGGTTGTGGATGCATTCAGTCAAAATTGGAGGGGTCTTCACATCTGTGCTTCCCCTCCTATTTGATTCCTCTCCAGAGTTCTATTCCTAATCTAAACCACTCTATGTCTAGTCCTACTGCTGGCTCCGTATTGGTAGCTACAACCATGGTTCCCACTGCTCTGATCTATACTTGTATAATCTCCTCTACCATTACCTCTGTCAACCTTGATTGGACATTGTTCATTCAGATGTCACCACATTCTGTCTTCATGCATGGCTTTTGTCAGATCAATTGCTTTAGTCCAGGGACTGACTCCACATATTGCATCTTTCCTTTCCCATTTCATCCATGTCCATTTACCAAAGGTGATGGTCTACCTTCCACCTTTGGTCTCTTTGACATTGTTTCTGTCCTTCCCACCCTTCTGTTCCTCATCTTTCCCAATTCTTCACTTGGTTGTTTGACAAAGGCTTGTCAACTTCTGCCATGCCTAACTATTGGGTTGCCTTGTTGGACACCTTCTGTTTCTCCTAGTTTTGTTAGATTTTGTCTTTTCCTGTCATTTCTCTCCTTTTGACTCGTATGTCCACAAATTCCTTTGATTTACGTGATTGGAATCTCATTGTGGTCTTTACTGTCCTCCCTTTGAATATTTTTCTACGTGTTACATGTACTATCTCTCCCTCAAGACCTATTTCCTTCTCCTCCTTGCTTGTGGATGTTGTCAATCAGATATTTATGCCTTCAATGTTACCCACATCCTCTACCATTCCTTTTATGTCATCTTATATCCCGACCAGTCCTTCCTTCCTAAGACCTATGCGACCCATGAAGGCAGTTTGTCTTTCATACCCATTTCATTACCTTCCATCTTCCACCTGTACTCCCATTCTGATCCTGATTGACTTCTTTGTCCAGTTTGCACCTTACAGCATTATGTGGCACATACTGCCTCCTTTTGGAGATCACATTCCCAACTTTTTATTTCCTGTGCTCTATCCCCTGTCATGCTGGTGTATTTTGAATTATCCATAGAAGGTTGCCATCTCCACGATGTTTCTTCTCATCAAATTTGTCTTCTCCCCATGTCACTGGAGAAGATTGTTCAGGCCGGAATGTGGACTACTCCCAATACCTTTGTCACTCATTATTTGCATGATCTGGCTGTATCTTCCTCAGGTGGATGTTGTCTCCATTCTGTGGCAGTTCTACACATGTTCATTCACCTTTGACTGGGGTAAGTTTTATCACTTCCTTTCATTTATGTTTTCTTTTCAGAGAATCTTTTTTTTACCAGTGATAATCTGATCCAAGTCTATGGTGGGTGTTACCTGGTCAGGTATGTTTTGCTTCAACCCTGCATTATTTACTGATTGCGATATAACACTCTGTAGAGATGGGGTGTTCCACAAGACAACTGTTGGTATACCCAGTGTATATATGTATGTTTCTAGGTATTAGTACATTTTACTCAGTGGTTGACTATCACTCATGGGCTTCATGAGCAAAGCAGAAGGAATTTCTGCCCATCTCTGTTGATCCTTTGATTGGATAAATTGGAGTCAGTCTGCTTTTCAAAATTGGGGCTGGGGGACACCCATTTCACTTTCCCCCTTTTTTCTTCCAGTGGAGCAAGGGAGTCCTTACCAGTTCCCAATTGCTGGGGTGGTGGACCATGGAGGCTTCCTCATGAATGCATTATAGAATTTTAATTTACCATACAGACTCATAATTTTACACTCAGTGTGAAGAGGGCAAAGCTGGTATCTCTCCTTCAATTTTCCCTGGATGCTTTTTTCCATGTGGACAACTGTTAATTGGAGCAGGATCCTCCTCATCGTACCAAGTTCAGGATAATACAGCCCTGTTTCTACTGTTGTGTACAGTAGATGCCTCTTTTCTTGTAAATTCTGGTTGCAGAAGGTTCTTTCCCTGCACCACAATTGAATTTGGGGGACTTTGTCTGCCTTATAATACCAGCAACGGGACATATGTACACTATTCCTACAGTTCAGTGAATGTTCGATGTCTTCCTCCCTACACTCGTGGTTGGGTGAGTTATAATTTCTGCGTGTAATACCGGTTACAGATATTGCCCTTTTATTACTGTTGAGTTGAGCCAACACCACGACCTCATAATGTTGGGTTGGATTTGTTGTACTTCTTGCTCTTACAGTGGTTTTAGGAGTTTGTCCAGTTTTGGCTAACTGCTAACTTCTTTTTTGTAATTCTGTTTACTTATTGTTGGGACTGATGAGTATATGTAATGTGGTCCACATGCCCTAGCCACTGTGTTTATGTTACATTATACTTGTGTTTATGTGTTTTGATCCTGAGCCTCCTAATACTGAGGATGAGTTATGGAACCTTGTCTGTCCGGTTGAGGTTGGGTATCTACATAGTTCATTCAGTTTATATTTTACTATAGATTGCACCTCTCCAAACAAGTTGCACTTATGCACATCCTTTTTATTCTGCCCGTATCAGATTCACTTACTGATTCAAGGGCAAAGAGCATACTTGTTCCAGATGTAGTGCAGTACCCCACATGTGTTTTGGTTTCCTCTTAGAGCACGCTCATTTATTCTGGGCAGTTGCCTTCCAGTTGGTTTCAATGATGAGTACGTACACTAGCTTCTCCACCTTTGCAATATGGGATTCTAGCTTTGTGTGAGACGGGGTAAGACCATATCGGAAGTTAACATTTTCTTACACTGAAAATTAATTTGCAGTTGGTACTTACCTCCTCTAACATGCTTTCTACCTTCCCTCCCCACTGCCGGTGTTCTTCTTTTAGAGCCTGCCAGTTCTCGAAAGTGAAGGTTGAGTGGGCATAACAGAGGGAGCTAGCTGCACCAATATCGGTAGTGCAATACTATTGGTGGAGAGTATTCACGTGTTATGCACATGTTCAATAGTGGCACGAAACTGATTGGATATATAGACTAGTGCAGTGAGCATGAAAATTTGTTCAGCAATGCTTAGAGAGCAGAAAGAAGATTGAGATAGCTTTGTGTGAGAAGAGTCAAGTTCATTTGTTCGTTCATTTCTGGCAGTTCTTTTGATTTAAAAAGTAATCATTTCTGAAGAAATAATTACTTATCAAGGGTGCACTCAGGGAATACTTGGGCTTGTAGTGGTGGATGAAGTTAACTGTGTCCCGCGGTGAGAAGTCGAGTGGTAGTACGTCGATAATTAACGGCGGCATAGGGTATGAGACAGTCTGCATGCTGGCATGTATCAGGGTCGATAGCTAATCGTCATCGATCGTGCTCGTCCTATCGAGTCAAGTACCTATCAGAAATACTTTTATAACCTAATGATAGACTTTTTACAAAATTTTATAAGCTTTTAATATGTTGTACAAAAAAGTTTATTTACATCTGCCTTTTGTTTACATCTTTTGAAATGAAGTGCAAAAGCATGTGCATTTAGATAGTAAGGTGCTTGTGCATTTTCAGAACAGACAAAAACTGAGTATTATTATAGTAGATTATTTTTAGCATTCACTCATATATTCTTAGAAATATATCTTGTAGACTTATTGGTTTTAATGGATATTTTTTCTGTATTAAATTAGCCTTGTGATTTGTACCCTTTAAAGCAAGATCCAAAAACTTATGGTGCACAAAAATTAATGGGAGCATGACTGTATCCCTTCATATACACTACTGTCTAGTTCAGTTTATGTGATCTTGCATAGTACAAGTAATGTTTTCAGTTACATTATTTTGTATAAAAAACTTTTATTATTTCACAAATGATCTTGAACGAATCTAAGAATACTAGATACAGTTTCTGACATTGTTGATATAACATCATGGTTTGTTGTGAAAGGTAGTATCAGTGAATGGTCTTTTTATATTGTTTGACAATAATTAAACTTTCAGTCTTATACTGCAGTGCTTTATTTTATAGTTTTTGCAATATCATATGTTGCATAGATATTTGAAATGTTTTATTTAATCTGTCCTTTCCTAGGGTGCATCATCCAGTTTGGTTGTAAAGTTTGCAGATACAGAAAAAGAAAGACAGTTAAGAAGAATGCAGCAAATGGCTGGAAATATGGGCTTGCTTAATCCTTTCGTATTCAACCACTTTGGTGCTTATGGTGCTTATGCCCAGGTAGCTGCCATATAAATTTTTTATTTATTTTAGTGTATACTGTCTTATGCCACACAAGTAAAGTGGTACTAGTACCTGCTTTCCTCATTTTTTTCTTTTACTATTAATAATCTTATTTATAAAAAATTAGTATTTTCTGAGATTATAGAAACCAAAGGAAGATTTAATGAACTTGAGATACATTATTGTGTGTAGGCTGCGAGATTATTTACTGTTTAAGCCCTTCTGTGAAACATCATTATGTGCATTTACTCTTCTTTCTTTCCTGCCTTTGTTAGATCTGTACCAGCACATAATTCTACCTGTATCCTCATATTATATATTGCACTTTGTCTTTCTTGATTTTATTAACATGTATTTGGTTGGTCAAATCCATCCTGACTTTGTAGCTGTTAATAATGTAGTTTTGGCCACTACTTGTACTTATTAATTGTTTTCTTCTATATAAATGAAGTTGTGCATTTTTGTCTGAAAAAAAAAGGAACATATGAACTTGGAAAAGACTACAAAATGTTCATTAAAATTGTTTGGAGGTTAAGGCTGAAATATTTAACATGTAAGTGGGTCTAGCTTTCAAAAGTTTAAAGTATCTTAGCAAAGGCTTACTGGTAGAGACTGTCATAAACAGTGCACATGTAAGGAAGAAAAATATAACATCACATTTTTTCACCCTAGTATTTTTTCTTGACACGCTTTTTGTTATTTTTAATCAACAGTAATTAGTTATTTTGCACAATATCAAAAATGCATTGTGGTGAATAAGATCATACTTATTGAACTTATTATGAAAAATGTTACATGTTTTTTTATACAAATTATTGTAAACAATATTAAGGAAAATGTTCCTTAATTGGTTAAACAATTTTCCATAAATATACAAATGTACTTGTTCAAGGTGCAGTTAACTTTTACTTTTATCTGATTACCATTTATACTTTCTGTCCTATAAAAAAACGTATTATCTGTGTAGGAACTGAAGTTAAGCCTTACTATAGAAGACTGCCATTTTATGTTTTTCTTTTGTCTGTCTTTGTTTATTACAATGCTCCAATGAATTTCAGTTCATGCAGCAGCAAGCAGCATTGATGGCTGCTGCAGCTCAGGGTGGGTACCTGAATCCCATGGTGACAATGGCAGCCACACAGCTTCCACAGGTCGGTACTGTCCATAATGGCCTTGCCAGTCCCGCCATCACGCCCACGTCAGGTGAGATCAGCATTACCTGCATGACAAGTACGTTCACTTCTCTTCTTTATCTCTTTTAGTGAAATATATTTAGTTGTATAACCTTATAGTTGGTAACGACATTGTTTGTAGAAATGAAGTAATGCAAAAAATATTTTACCAACACAAAAAGTATAGCTTCAGGTATATAAACAAATGATTAAATAAAAATGTCAAACGTATATCTAAAATTAGCAAAGTGTGATCTTAAAGTCTTTTTTTTTTTGTTGAGGATATAAATCAACACCATCCCCCACAAAAAAAAACTAAACTTTAGAATTCCTATTTAAAGTTCTAGGTAGGATCAAAAATTTATATGAAAAAATAACAAAAGGTAACACCTATATATATATTACGTGTGTGCATATGAAAGTAATGGGAAGTAAGCCATTTAATATAAGTATGCACTTTAGCCTTTAAGCTTACTTTTTTTTAAATGCATTTTATATATATATCAGACTTTTGAGAAAAACAAATTGCTTCTGAAATATAAATTGAAACCTATGGACAAGGGTAAAACTTTTGATCTTTTGCCAATTATTGTATGTTTTGATTTTGGGAGTACATCTTATTTTATTAAAAATGGTGCTTCTTGTAAACTATTCTACTAAAAAATTATTTTACATAATTGTATTTGTAGTTGAATATTTTTCCTGAAAAAAAATGATCCCTCATTAGACAGGAAAAACAATTTGTGTCATACATTGTAAAATGATGAAATCTGGAGAGTAAGATGCAAAATTTAAAGGCATAATAAAAATTACATTTTAAACTGTTTTGGATTTGAAAATTAATTGTCATTTTCATTGGGGGTTGGAGTAAGTGATTGCATCATATGCAGGGGGGGGGGGCATCTGTGTATAAAGGGGGAGGTGGTACAAGAATCCATGACTTTTTTTGCATATATAATATATGGATGGTACCTAAACATGCTTATTAAATGTATGGTAGGAGCATAAAATCCTTTTAATAGTAAAACTTTAAGAAGAAAGAAAATGCATGGAGCTATATATATCCAAGAGTTCATGCCCAGAATTATAATGTTTCTAAAGACAGTCTGGGGATATCACTTTCAGTTTCATTTGGTTTAAGTGTATTTCATATATATTTTCATATCTTGAAAGATAAAAGCTTTCTTGACAATCCAGTACATTTAGATTTTTCTCAGATTTTCTCATGACAGAAATAGGATTTTTAACTTACTTTCATGAATAGAATCTCCTTGGCAACAAGTTTTTCTTTTCAAATATATTTGAAAAATGTTTTAATAAGTATTTCTTATACATTTTTAATTCCTCTCTCTTGGCTGTTAATTTAAAGGGTTTTCCAGTTTCAGGTGTGTTTGACAGAAATTTAACTATGCTGCTGGCATAGCTTTGATATTTACAGTGTATGTAGACATAAGATTTGCATCCTCTTTAACACTTTATTTATACATTCTGACATAAATAAGCTCTTAAACCTTTGATAACTTGTACTGCTAAACACTAGTGATATAATGGTTTTACACAATACAATCACACTGGTTCAAGTAGATACAATCTTTAAGTAGAAGATATACATTATTCAGTTGTGTTATGAAGAATGAAACTCAGTTTCTGGAATTATCTGATAATTATTTATAAAATGCTCTTCACTTACATATTTTACCTTATTTGTCTGAAAATACATTATTTATGGGTAATTAGCATTTATGTACAATATGACTGAATATCTGAGTGAAATATCAAAATACTGAGAAGCTTTGTTGCCGTGTAATTCAGAAATCTTAAATAATTTAATTAACAGGCACAGTTGTTTTGTCATTTGAGCACAGGGTCATAGAGTAAGTCAATAAGTTGTTAATTTACCAGAAAATTAGCTACACCCATGATGGAGGGAAAATAAGCAGGGGTCCAGAGACACCTGATGCTGGGAGTTTTTCAGTACTCTAAAATCTGAGGTTGTCTTTGACTTAAGATATGTTCAGATGAAACTGATATCTTTACCTCAGTTTACTTCTAAATTGTTCAATGAAATACTAAAGACCAACATTTTAGATAAAAAAAAAAACCTTCTTCAAATTATAAAAAAACAACTTAATTTTACCCTTACTGAAATCTGTTGAAAAAGACTTTACATTAATTTCAGTTCTGCACCTCATAAGTATGAATTACTCATTAATGCCAGTAAATAAAATGCAAGTATTACAAACTTAAAATGTGTTGTCATGCATGTAGACTTGAACTTGATGAAAGTTCACTTCTTTACAACAGGTTATTACAACTTGGAAAACTAAATTCCTCTCTAACTTGCAGCTTGCACTGGCTGTTTACTGAGTAACTGTCTTAGGAATAAAATGCTTAGGAGTGATAAGAAGCTCTCACTTTGGCCACAGGCCAAAATTGCAAATAATCTTCTGTCTCAGTCAATGGAAATTCTGAGAAATACACATATAACTAGTAGAACATAAAGAGAGCTTAGATATTACTGTATGTCAACTAGGGGAGTAGAAATATGTTAATACAGAATTCAAGCAGTAAAAGTTTGGGGAGCAGGAACAAAAATATTGGGACTTCACAGTACACAATTTAGAAAGTTGGTGTACTTACAGTTCCATGCATTATTGACACTGGACCCCTGCTTTAGAATTCTACCATATTGTACTTTCTTTATATTCATGATCAGTATTTCTGTTGTAAGGTGGGTGTGATAAGCTTTTTTCCCCAGTTTATTTTTGTTTTTAAAAGCAGAAAGAAATATAAATGCGCCTTTCAATAAATGTTAGTTAAGCACTGATGAAAAACCATGTTGTCAATTGACATCAAGAATTTGCTGTTTCTGATGTGTTCTCATGATAAGCCATTCCTTGTAGACAACATTTTGGTTCCTTTGTTTTATACTTGTTTTGGGTGATAAGACATTATTGTGTTGGCATTATTCAAATCTTTATTAGCATGTTATTGGAAGCACTTTTAGAAAAATTAAAAATGTTGTACACAGATGTTGCACCAAAAAGAAATCCAAAAATTTGTTGCCCATTGCCAGTAGTTAATTATTGAATATGCAGTCACATTTCTGTGCTTTACATCTTTAAAGTCCAATGACAATTATACTTTCTATCAGATTTGTATCACTGACATAAATACTAAATGCAAGAGTAATCAACTTGATAAAAGATGAGATGAATTTCCTGCTTATTACCATACATTATGGAGAGATACAGAGTCCTGTTACAAGATTAGTGTATTAAAATGGATGAATTTAAAAGCTAGCTCATTAGGTGATGCCGACCAGTGGCACAGTGGTATGTGTGCAGACTCACAATGCTAGAATCCGGGTTTCGATACCTGTGGTGGGCAGAGCACAGATAGCCCATTGTGTAGCTTTGTGCTTAATTACAAACAAACAAACATTAGGTGGTTTCTATAGACAGAACTGATGTAACATGGCATTTACTGGAAGAAGTTAAGAATCCAATAACTGGAGAGTTTAAATGTGAACTTTTGATTACAGTAATAGAAGGAATGTTTATGATCTTCTTTTTAAGTTCTGACTGTGAGTACTTCTTCAGTTTGTTAACAAAAACTAAACAGTTCAGACCAAGTATGATTATAAACACACTTAGTTTGTTCATCACAAAGTTGTTGTGTCCAGTAGGAAGGAAAGTGCTGATGTGCAAAAATGTACTTTTGTTCATCAGCTACATTGGAAAAGAAAATGTTTTGTATTAACCTGTATATGATTTTTATTGGTAGCAAAAATTTTATTATTGGATTTCTTAGGAAGTTTTTGTATGTATGTAAAATCATCAAATGAAATTATAATTTATTATAGATGTAGTGTCTCTAAGAACATTTAAAATGTTATATTATTTTTCCCTTTTTGATGTGCCAGCCTCAAACTAATTAAATAAATATTTAATCTTAACAATACCAAACAAATATAAGTAAATTGATTCTGAGCTCTTAAGATCCATTGGTATAGCTGACTTTTGCTAAAATTGTCTTGGACAATAATAATGGACAAATACTGTGATTATACTAAAATTTAAACATTGAAGAACTTCGTTATAATATTTTCTTGCTAAATCTATTTTCTAGATTTTAATTCCATTAGATCTGGTTTTTCCTTCAGAAAGCTAATTAATTTTTGTCACAATACAAATCCAATAGTATCAAAACTTTTTCAGTAAGTAATTATCATTGCTATGGCAAGCACTGTATGTATGATTTAAGAAAGCTGAGATTTTGGCATTCTATTTCATATTACGATTTAACTAGATACCTTTTTAATATTTTAGATATTCCTTGTTTAAAGGGCAGAAATCCTGAACAATAAACATTAGTTATATAAAAACATTATGTCTAAGAACTCTGCTTTCTTCAGGTAATGGGACTCAACCAATAAATGGTGCTATCCCTAACATGCCTTCCCCTACCATGCCGAATTTCACCATTCATCAAAATGGCCAACCAGGAGAAGTATATGCTAATGGCATACCTCATTGTCCACGTGAGTATTTCTGTTGTTTTGTTCTGAAATATTCATTAAGCTAGGCTCTTTTGTTTCTAACTACCTTATTCTGTTTTCTATCACCATTAAGTTTCTGAGAATAAACAGCTGGCTATTTTGCAACTGTGTCAAGATATCAACACTTTTTAGTGTGGAACAATGATGCTGTCAGTGATTAAAAGTTATTGTTAAAGTCTGGTCATTGGCTTGCAATGGTGTTAAGAGTTGATTTTAGTTTAATTTGATAAATTTTGCAAACATTCTGTAAATACCTTACATGCCTACATTGCCTATGTTTATACAATCTAAACAACTCTATAAATATTTCTGTTTGAAAAGTATGCTCGTCAATCCAGTAGTGTAATGAAATAAATTACTATCGTTTGACATCATAAAAGTAATAAATCAATAATATTAGTATTACTCTGTATTAAGAACTGACAAAGAAAGGTAGTTTGAATTGTCATTTTTAATGTGGTTATATAATTTTATCAGTGTGATCCAGTTTTTGGCATTTAGTGTATTACAAAAATATTACTTTTATTTGACGTTAATGAATCTTTAATTTAGCCCATATTCATTCAGTAAGGTCTATTGGATATAAAAAAAAGATAGGCCAATTCATTGAGCATAAAAACTAACAAAATAGTTACAAATTTTATAATATATGTATTAGAATATTGTTTTAGGAGCAGGAAAAATTCCGAAAGAATAATTTAAAGTTCTTGGATTAAGATATTTGCTTTTCTTTATTTCTTCTTTAGAGTAAAACACCATAAATTCTAAAAGGAAAAAAAAAAGTAGTTGTCCAAATGTAAAGGTGTAATCTGAGGTCATTATTTTATGTTCATATAAGATAACTATAACATTATATTTCATATACCAAAATGTAGTTGTTGAAAAATTTTGAGCTAGTTTTTCATTTTGAAGTTTCAAGATATATTACTTAGACAACTGCCAATATTTTAATCTTTTTCTAAAGTATAAATTATTTTAAACTTTGTAAGATAGTCATTAGATTGTTGGTATAAAAATTCTGAAAAATAAATAAATAGCTGTGCTTCCAAGTTTCCTTTCTATGACCATATTTTGAAACACTTGTGGCTTTACTTAGCACCAAAATTTCAAACTAATCACAGTAGGTGAAAAATACAAAAACATAATTTTCATTTTAGAAATTTTTATCATAAGATTAAACTTGTGAGAATAGTTTATTTGATTTTTGAAAATAATTAAAAACATGTTTATACATTAATGAATAAGTTGACACAGAGTTTATAAATTTACTACTGATATTTGCTTTTTGACAATATTCTTTTGTGATGAAATTCATAATCACGAGCCAACACAAAAGTGTTAAGAACTATAAAATGCTTCACAACAATAATGAAGACAATGAATGTTTTTGTCACACTGCAGTCTTGATTTTAACATTCAGTTTTCAAAAATATATATGTATATTTTGAACTTAATAAATTTCCAAGTGCTTGTTAGAAAGCTATATTAAATAAGTATGATAATCGTACTTTGTCCATACTTACAAATAGTTATTCAGTAAAGTAGCTCGTTGTTTGAAATGTATTGTTTGACCTTAGTCTTGGAGCCCATCTATTCTTTTAAACCCTTTTTCTGAACTGTTTATTCCCAAATTGCTTGTGGGTCCTTGATTCTGAGACGATGCCTCACCTTCACACACAGAATAGCTTGATCCCTTCATGCCTCTGCCTATGAGATTTGCATACCACTAGCCTTCAGCTACCTACCACCTAAAAAACTTGTTTAATATGAACTGTGCCAGTGTATGATGTAATCATCATGTAATAATAGCCCTCCACCATTACAAGGGTGACATAACCTGCTTTACATTAACTCCCTGAAGCACTTTTTTGCATTTTCTAGAATGAACATGTTCCAAAATTGTTAATAAATTATTTGAGATTTGCAATAGCTTACGACCGAATTAACTTTTGTTCAGGTTTAGTGTTTGTGTTTCTCAACTCAGTGTGTTTTCTTTTTGGTGATCTCCGACCATTGTCAATTCTCAAGTGATGATAACTTCCTCTTTGTCTCATGATGGTGACCATGTTACTAATATAGGACCTTTAGCTGCTGAGGCTCATTTTCTGTGGAGGAAATGACAGCCATTATTCAATGTGTTGTGGGTTCCTTCATGCATACTGGACCTCCTCCTCCAATCCATTTAGCTGACATTCCTTCTCCCCATTTTGAACATGATCAGGATGATGATGATTTTGACTGGCTATTCCCCTACCAGGATTTGCTATAAGCACAGCTTTATTTGTGGAAGAAAATCCTCACCCTTCTAATCTCTTCCTTGACATGATTTCACGGGTATGTTCTTTTTCTTTCCCTGTGTATTTCAACTCCTCCTATACTTTACTACATGAAACCCATACTCAAGATTACTTTATTTTCCCTCCTTCGCCTGACATTAGGGTCCATGCACACTCATTTCTCAAACAATTGCACACCAGTACTAACATGCCTTAACCTTCTCATCTATTCAACTCTTTTGTCCTGACTTACAGCCAATCTTCATTTCTATTCCTTGGTTCCCAGTCTTTGAAATCTCTTTTACCCACTTGGGGGCTGGACTGCTCTTAACTTCTATTCCCCTATCTAGGGCCAAATGTTCACATCTTTGTCTCTTTCTTATCACCCTTCTGCAGTACTTCTCACCACCTTGTTTCAGAAGCACTTCATCATGTTCCAAAGGTCTTCTGGAGAGGTTCTTTCTCTTCATTTTCACCAATTTGGCCTGTACTTAATCTTCTGCTCTATCCCTCCTTACTTGGTTCCTTTACTGTTGGTATTTATTAGGATGTAATGCTCTTCTAGCTAATGTATGCCTCCCTTATGCTTATCTCCATGATCATTTTAGGGCTCCCCATTTTTTTGCTTGAAGGTCTTTGGCAGTGTTTTTGATTTACTAGAGACCCAGGCTCAAGCAACCCATTGCCTATTTTGATTTCTTGTTTTTCTCAAAATTGGCCTTCTGTTCCTGCTTCTAGGCATGATGTATCCACATCTTCCCATTCCAGCATCCCAGCCTTCTTCTTCCCAATGGCATGATCATCACTTGTTTCATCAGTGACTACCCTGTTAGGTCTGGCCCTGTGGGAGCCCATCTGTTTCTCTTTACCAGCCTTTGGTCTCCATTTTCGACTGACTGATGGGTTCCTGAGGTTCTCATCCATGGCTTATCTTCCCATGTTTCTTCTCCTCCTACCCTTTTGCCTTTTCTGGTTTCCTTTTCTCCTCCCTCTGATCCCATTTATCTTCAGCATCTCAAGGATGTAGTTACAGATTTCTTGGCCAAGAATATCATTGAAAGATTATTTACCCTCTATTCTGGGTTATTACTCTCATCTCTTTGTGGTCCCCAAGAAAACAGGGGGCCTGGTGTCCAGTTATCAACCTATTGTTTCTCAACCTGTTCCTTGTCATCATTTAGTTCTGTATGGAGGGTTTCTTTTCTCTACAGTGTTTTTTTTTCACCCAGAGTGTGGATGACCAAGGTCGAAATATCTTGTGTCTTTCTACACATTCTAATCATCCAGTCCTCCAGACATTTTCTTCATTTCTTCCATCAGGATCATGTCTTACAGTTCCATGCTTTTCCTTTTGCATTTTGACATTGTGTCTTCTCATTACATCTTCAAACATGTCATGTTTACAGATTGGAGCTGAGGTTCCATCATTACATGGACTTTCAGCTTCTCCTTGGGCCTTTTTGGGAATATTCCTTCCTTCTCTCACACTGGCATATTTTTGTGGGAAACTGCTCGGCTTAACTAGCTTGTCAAGCCTTCCAAGTTTATTCTTATGCCTACCCAATATTTGGTGCATCTAAGTGTGTTCTTCAACTCCCATCTCAGTCGGTCTTAGCCTTCACCACTTCACCTACAAGCAGTGGAATGTTTTGTTACCAATGATTCCATTCTTATCCTTTACATCCTGCATGCAGGGTTCTTTCACTTATGGGGACTCTGGCTTCCCTCTAAAAAGTCATTCCTTTAATTCTTTCAACTGGGGCTCTGTCCGTGGGACCAACCTCATAACCATTTTGTGCTTGTTATAGTTTCATGATATAACTTTTAAATTAGTAAGCAAATGTTAAAATTTGGCAGTTTATCAGTAAACATTACAATGCTTTCATACGCAAAATATCTATTTTTTTCTATCAAGTCTTAAGGTTTGTAAAGCAATGTTTCTCTCATGCCTTTTTTTTTTTTCTTTTCACATCTTGT